ATTGATACATTGATACGTTGATCGTTGTACTTGGAACCAGTGCGGATGATGCGACCGTCGGCCATGACCGCCGTGAGCCCGAGGACGTTCGACTTCATGTTGCCGTAGCTAAAAGACACGAGTCAAACGATGCTACTGGAACGAGAGGCGGCATGCGTGCGTACCGAACCGTCGTCGTGCCCGACGCGTTGGTGGCGACCATGCCACCGAGCGTCGCATCGGCACCGGGGTCCACGGGGAAGAAGAGACCCGTCGCGCGGAGCTCCGACTCGAGCTGGAGGCGCGTGACGCCGCACTGGACGCGGCAGCTCATGTTCTCTTGCTCGACCTGCAGACGAGCATCAGCATGCGCACGATGAGAAAGATGATGATGTGCGTACCGAGAGAATCGACTTCATGTTGGTCAGGTCGAGTGCAATGCCACCGTGGAGCGCCGAGATGTGGCCTTCGAGCGACGAGCCAGCGCCAAACGGGATGAGCGGCGTCTTGGTCGCCGAGCAGAGCTTGAGAATCGTCGAGACCTCTTCCGTGCTGTCGGCGTAGACGACAACGTCGGGCGGGCACGGCGCGTGGTACGACTCGTCCGTACCGTGGTGCTAGACATGCAGAGAGGCAGCGTGAGGCGGCACGCATGGGCTAGCGCATGCTACGTACCTCGCGCACCGAGGCAGCGGTCGAGACGCGGTCGCCAAAGAGCTCCTTGAGCGTCGCGAGGGTCTCGGCCGACACGGCGCGGTGCTCGTACGGACCGCCCTCGGCCGAGAAGCAGCGGCGCGCGACCGAAGTGCGCTTGGAGATCGCGGCAAAGGACCGGGCCAGCATCGTCGTTGTTCGAGAAGCGGGCGAAATGCAAAATACCTCGAAGGGCCATCTCGCGCATCCATCCGGATATCCAGTACCGGATGGAATTTACATAGAGACGCAAGTGGCACATCCTGCTCGCACCCAAACGACTGTCCGGCACCATGGTCGGACCAAGTTGTTGGATCAGGTTCCGCTGCAAGGTCGCGTCAGGGACGTTATGGCGCGGAGGTGCTAAATGGAGTGCTCGTATCTGGTTGGAGACGTTGATGGTAGCCAAATACCAACCAGAGCAGTACAAGACCGCCCAACGGGGACGCGTATCTGTGGGAACGCAGCTCGTGTTCCGCCCTCTTACGTCAAGGTCGGACGCCTTCAGTTGCGCTATGCAGCGACATGGGGTGGTCATTCTGCCGCTTTTTTGCATTGGGTGACCTAAAAATCAAGAAATGTGTGGTTTTTCGCAGATTCGATCGAGAAGGTTCGTGTGGCGCCAATTCGAGTGTAGCTACTCCTACGTTGACTGCATTGCTTCTTGTTGGATTGGTATAATAGTAAAAGTGACTACCTACTCCACACGAGGCTCTGCGCCGCGCTTCATCCGTTTGGAGGTCAGAAACTCAAGGTCGGACTTGCCAGATTGATATAACCCGAACAGCCAATCCAAACGCGCCTTGTCATGCCAATATAGCCAATCAGAGTGGTGCGAACCCGATCTTTCGGGAAACGCCGCCGCGAGCGCCGCCCCGCATGTACTCGCGCAACCCGAGTCTCTTCTTCTCAGACCTTCCCACGGGTACGTCTCTACGCACTACGATCTATGCTGCATGAATGGCTGACTGCACAGGCCTCTTGTCGGGTCAAGACAACGACGTCGTATGCACCCAATTTCAAAGCGTCTCTACAGTTTATGTAGGGGGAGCGCGACGCGACACCCGAAGCACGCGCGCCACCGTCGTCCAAGCTGCGTATTGCCCAGCTTATTAAGGCGCAACAAGGCCCGTGGAAGCGGCCAGAGCGACTCGAGCGCGACGACGCCCCACCCCCGTCGTTCCCAACCCTGGCCGAGCTCGCCGCACGGAAGAAGCAGCCGCCAAGCATGGAGACGCACTCGCTGGCCGCCAAGCGCAGAGTGTATGGCGTTGGTCCCAAGCCAGCGCTCAAGTATGGCAAAGCGCCCTTGGCAGCAATCAACACGGAGCATAACGACCTCGAGCACCTCCGCGTACGAGGACGAACCGCGTTTGACGCAGCGCTAACGCTGGGAATGGCTAGAACACCATGCATCGCGTCGGCAAGAATCTTCCGATTCAGTTTTTAAAGGCGTCCAAGCACACGGATTTCGCCAAGCGCATGGCCACCGAGACCGTCGTGCGCATCGTATCAGCCAACTTTGAGCACGCGCGGCGTCGCGCCTTTGGCATGTGGCAGGTGCACCGAATCTTATACTTGGACCATTGACATATTCCTCGCCTCAACGCTACCAACGAACTCGTAGACGTTTACAGACGCCCACCGCGCGCGCGAGCACGCGTTCAAGCGACATCGTCTCGAACAGCTCGCAGGTGCTTTCTACGCTGACGCCTTGCATGCCACAAACGATCGATACCAATAGGTTTGGCACGCATGTTGTTTTTGCTGCAAACCAAAGTTGAGCACCGCTCTCGATACATCCTAAGCGCCTGGGCGGCCGAAGCTCGAGCGCGGACGCATGCTATTCATACCTTCCACGCGATTCAAATCCAGTGCGCGTGGCGACAAGCCATGGCGCGACGGCTCCGCCACCGTCTCTACTGCGCCCACTTAGCTGCCTGCCAGCGACACAGTGCCATCCACTCGCAGCGGTACGACGACGACTCTGTCACATGCATGAACGGGTACCGACATCGACCTAGATTGGTGCGCGGCTTTCTGGCGCGGCGTGAGGCTTCTCGGCGCCGAGTCGCCAAGCAAGAGATCATGGCAGCCACCAGAATCCAGCGGGCCTACCACAATCAAGTGCTCTACCGCGCGTATCGACGCCAAAAACAGAGTCGCGCGAGTGCGTTGCTCCAGCGCGTCTACCGCGGGCACCATGGCCGCGGCGTCGCACTCGCTCGTCGTGCTGCGCTCGCTCAGGAGGCCACGACTTACGTCCACGAGCACGTGCTTCCCGCCGCCTGCGCCAACGCATCTCGACGAATCGTCAGCGCCCGCCGTATCCAGCGCTGTGTGCGGCACGCGACCGCACGCACCAACTACGCCCGCGCGTATCCAAAACTCTATGCGCGCCGCCGGTACTTTCCTGCGTGTCGTATCCAGGTACCTTTTTTCTATTTTGTGCGTGGCGCATTCATACAATTGAACTAGCGCACTTGGCACAGCTTTCGGTCGGCACAGCTAACGGCAGTAGTGCGACGCATCGTACAAGGTCTCTGGGCAGTGCAAGAGCGTCTCGCGTCCAAGTGTGCTAACCGTGACGCACGGCGCGTCGAACGAACGCAACACCGGGCAGCAATCGCGATGCAACGCATGTACCGTGGCCACGTCGCTCGACGCCGCGTGCAGCCGCTCATTGACGTCCGCGTGAATACGCTCGTCCAGTCGCTGCCACCGGACTTTGTTGTCGCGCCAGCCATACTGCGCAGTCGAGGGACGCAGGCGATGGCGCAGCTCGAGCTCCAAGTTCAAAAATGGCGCGGACGAAATGCGATGACGCTCCAGCGAGTCTACCGCGGTCACATGGGCCGTCGCACGGCCAAGCGCGTGCGCATCGATTGGTGCCACCTTCTTTGCGTGCTCAACCGGCCTGTGCACGCTTTTCTTATGCGTCAGCTCGGTCGTCGCGTCCGGGTACTCTCATCATCACATAGCGATACTGGTACACAATACTCAGGTGAAATTGTTGGATAGGCCCGCTGGGCTCGAAAACGACACGCAGGTGTTACCAAAGCCTTTTTAGCGTGGAAAGGGATTGCCCGCGCGCTCCAGCACGTCCACTTGCTTCGGTCGTCGGCGCGGCTTCGGCAACTTGCCCAGTGGCATTTTGAAAAAGTGCTGCGCAAGAAAACGCTTTGTCGGTGGCGAAGTGGTCTGGTGCGGCAGCGCGAGATGCGCTTCAAGAAGCACAAAGCACAGTCCTTTGCGTTGCGCTCGCGACAAACCAAGGTCTTCCAGGTACTACGCAGGACGATGCCATGAGCTTTTCTCGACACGTCGGTGGTAGCGCCTATATGACCATGTTCTTGCCGACATCGTCCACAAGAGGGTATGGACGATGCAGCGCAAGGTGACGTTTGTCTATGCGTGGCGCCGCCACACAGCGCAGATGCGACACGTCCGGGCCATGGAGAAGCGGCATCACGCACGGCTTGTGGTCGCCAGTTTGGACCAATGGCGCTCGGTGTACGTCTATGACCACCTTGTGCAAGGCCTAGCGCGGCGCCAGCGCGAAGCGTCATCGCTGCGGTCGCACCTGGCCGCCCTGCACGCGTACGTCGTTCGGCAACATGCTGGTATATTGGACAACATCGATCAAAGGACACTAACTGTGCCCATGACATCGTTGGATAGTTGCTGCGCAATGGCGCCGACGTGGCCTGCAGCGCGGCCTTTCCCAATGGGTCACGGCGCGCGCGTGGACGCGGTTGAGCAACGACCAAGGCGCGCGGGCCAATCGGTTTCGCGTGCGCCATCTTGTGCGTCGGTGGCAGCAACTGCGCAGTATTCAGGAAGCCGCGGCGGCGCTCCGCACCAAGGTCGATGCATTTGCGCAAGGGCATGGACAGATGCGCGCGCTCGTGAGCTGGATCGTGCACACGGACGAAGCGCGCGCGTACCACGTGCTGTATACACAAGCACAGAGTCTCTTCAAGCGTACGCACGTCGCGAAAGCATTTGCCGAGTGGTTTCAGCTCTGGGCCGAGACGGCCGGCGAACGCCGCATATACTTTGCAAGGCTTCTCCAGCGTCTCTGGCGCGGCAAGCTCGGTCGGCGCCGCTTTGCGCAAGCCCGCGCGTTGGAAGACTACAAGGTTCACCAAAAACCACCTGTGCCGGCACGTTTCTATTGAAATCGACATTAGGTGGCGCGCCGCATCGAACTGGGCACGGACATTCCGCAACTGGCGCCGGACGCGATGCAGGCACTGGTGACACCGGCCGTGAGCGGGAAGGAGTGGGTGCTACTGCTCGCCTACTTGCCGTGGACTGCGCCGTCCCCGCGCATGTCCAAAGCGTTTGCAACTGTCGCAACGTCGTACTATAAGAACAAACGCATCGCCTTTGGCTGCATCGACGCCACGCAGCGGCACGCATCGTAGGCTCTTCAAGCATTCTTGCAACGTATCAGAGAATCCTGTGGCTAGGAAAAGCATCGCGGCCAAGTACCAGCTCGAGGACGCGAAGCTGCCGCGGTTGCTTGTCTTTTGGCAAGGGCGCGGACCCGAGACGCCGACGCAGCGGGATCCTGCGAACCGTACTACGCGCCGGTTCACCGCCGTCAGCTTGCACTACCCGCATCCGCTTTTGCAAACACACGAGCTCCACGCGTGGGTTCAAAGCCTTTTATCGCATAGCCGCGAGCAGACGGCGATTGATCTCCAAGCCGATTGGCGCCGGTTCCTCGTGCGGCTTCGGCGCTACTACCGGCGTCAGAGCTGCCGACGCAACGCCACGGTGCGCATCGTGGTCTGGTTTGTCCAGCGTCGTCGGGCGCGTCGGCGCCGGAACGCGACCAAGCTCCAGCGCTGGTACCGCCGACGCAAGGAACAAGTCGCTGCCTACGCACGCGTCGTGGCGTCGATGGCCGCGTACCGCAGGCCGATCGTAGCCTTTCAACGCACCCTTCGGCGCCACTACTGCCGGCGTCAGTTTCGTCGGGCCATGTACGACGACGACGACATGTTGTCCATTTTTGTTGAGTATTGACATGCGTACTAGGGATGAGAAATACGCTACCGTCGACAAGTACCCCCACGCGCCGCTGTGCTTGACGTGCGAGCGCGCGGTTGGCGTGCTCAAATGCATCGACTGCCACGAGCCGTACTGCGATGCGTGCTTTGGCGTTTACCACGGCAGCGGCCATCGCGCCAGCCATCGGAGCAAGATGATCGACTTTATAGCGATGCACGCCAACGACCCCATGTGCGCCGAGTGCTACGTGGACCGGCCCCAGCGTGTCTGCAAGGTGCATTTTTCCAATTGATCTAGACCAAATGACGTACGTTTTGTATAACTAGGGTTGTAAAAAAGGTCTCTGCGGTCACTGCCACAACAAGACGCACACCATGGCGTCGGGCTTGCAGAAGCACGTGTACACCCGAACGCGCGTGCTCTTGAAGACGTTCGAGCGCGCCCATCCGACGACCACCAAGTCGAGTAAGGCGACGCACCTCAAACTCCAGAAAAAGCGAGCACATCTGCTTCTGACCGAGACGGCCCACGAGATCATGCTCTCTCAACACTGGATGTCATTCACCCAAAGAGAAGCGGCGCGTGTCGCGACAGAGGCGGCGGCCAAAAAAGAAGCCGACCGAGCGGCAGCGCTGGCGCATGCAATGGCGCAGTTGGAACAGCCCGTGCTCGATGCGTTTGAGATCTACGACCCCGACCACGGTGGGTACGTCGGGGCCGGCGAGCTCGCCATGCTGTTGCGCAACGAGCTTTGCATTCCACTGACCAAGAAACAGCTCGCCATTGGCATGCGTGCCATTGACCAAGATGGCAACGGCCGATTCGGTATAGTAGCGTGCGCTCATGTTTGTTGCGTGATTGTCGGTGTAGAGTGGCGCGAGATCTGTGCCTGGCTGGCTGAAATTGTTGTCGACCACAAAGTCGATGGTAGGCAGGCTCCCCGCTTCCGTTTTGTGTGTTTTATTCGTGTTTTATTGACAACTTGCGCTATCTAGGTCGTCTCGATGCGCTTCGCCGCAAGAAGCTTCACGCTCAAAAGAACTATCGCGATCTGCAACGCAACATCCGTAAATGGAAGCGTGGGGTGTTCCCGGCGCGCAAGAAGCGCGTGCGCACGGTGCCGGGCTTCCCCGACGTGCCCCGATTGCACCCTGTCGACGACTTTCAGGGCAAAAAAACAGTCTTTTACCGCTTCATCAGCTCGGGTAGAGCAATGTGTATTGGATTGTGGTTGAGAGTGGACACGATTATTGTCGTGTGTAGAATTCGGCATGAAATGGATCCTCGAAGATGTCCACGAGATCGACTTGGCCAACCAAATGGCGGTGTTTGCGTCGACATTTGTGCCGCGCTGGAATAGCGGGCAACTCGGGTTCGAGTACTTTTACGACGGCGTGACGTTCGAGTACGACAATGCGATTTGGAAACAAGTGTGGCGAGAGGCGGCGCACAAATACTCGTTTATCAACGTTGCCGATGGCAGCGAGCACTTTGCCGACCCGCGCAAGGTCGAGAGGCTCTTTGCACAAGCCCGCGAAGCCTTCGGAGAGGTCGATACGGATGGGTACGCGTGTTGGATTGCGTTGAATCCGACTGACGACCGTGGTAGATCGGGTCAAATCGACGTCCTCGAGCTCTACCATTTACTCAATCACAACCTCTGTGAGCCCGTTACGATGGACCAAGCGCGCGCAATAATGGAAAGCATTGATAAAGACGGAAGTGGCGCCATTGGTATGGTATTCTCGAGATTGTCGATGCTACAATCATCCTCGGTGGCACTAGATTTCAACGAATTTTACACGTGGTACGCATCGGAAAACAGCCAGCAATGCCCCAAGTCGATCAAGCACCGCGGGCTCCAGACCGCGCTTCGCACGCGACGTCATGCCCAGCGCATCGGTACACCCTTGTGTGCTGTTTGTTTACTAAACCACAGGCGGTGTAGTCACGACCAGCTACAAGAAAGGGCTCGCGACGAGCAAGTCGGTCGTTCAATCCGTCCAGAACCGTGTCGAAGCGCAGCGTCTCGCCAAGGCATGCGAAGGCGCAGACCCAGAAATGGTCGAGCTTCTCATCGAGGTTACCACGACAGTATTCTATTATGTTACTATATTGTATCTGCGACTAGGGGTTTGACAAACCGATGGTTCACAAAGCGCTCATGCTGGCACAAAACGACGTCAACAAGGTTCGTCGTCGTCGTGCATGAGCAAGCAAGCGTTGATGCGACATCGTCTTAGGCGCGGGCGTGGCTGCAGCAACGCAAGGAAGAGGTCGAGCTCGACGCAAAACGGCGAAAAGAAGCGTGCCAGAAGCGACGCGACGCCCAGCTGCGAGGGCTGCACGCAGCTCATTCGACGGCGAAAGCTGGCCTCCTCAGTGTCGCGAAATCCATCAAATTGCTCATTCTTGGTGACAAGCCCAACCACGACGACGAGGTGCGACGGTCTTCCTACGATGGTATACGCATCAAACGGGTTGTTTCTAGGTGGCGATGATTCTACGCGACTTGCAACTCGAAGTCAACCGCGCGGAAGGCATCGTGCGAGACACGATCGAGAACAGCTGACGTCCGTGCATGGGGCTAGGGTATCCGGATACCGTGGCAGTCATTCTACCGGTACATTGTACGAGTACGGAGTTACCGCCAAAAGACATGGTTTCCACTTTATGTTTTGGTCGGGTCGCTCATACAATCAGGCGGCAAACAGTGATAGACGTCGTGCTAGCATGACAACCCAACGACCGCCACCATCAGTGGTGATGGCGTTGGGGAGCATTTCTCAAAAACGCCGCAATTTTCCCTCTATTCGCAAAACCCCCGCAAACTCGCAAACTAGTCAATCACAAACCCGTCAACCTCCTCTTAAAGCCAATCAGATCCAAGTATTTCTCAATTGCGGGGTTTTTTGAGAAATACGCTTGCTCGGGTCGTGGCTGTGAGAGTGATGGTTCATCATTTACTCCTTCCTATTGTGCAGCGGTGCAGCAGGTCATTTCTACTTTCTACGTGTGCCATGTGGGCGAGCATCGCGGATGTGCAACCGGTGATCTTGGCCTTTGCGGGGCCGCTGACACAGTACCTCAACAGCGCCCTCGACGCAGAATTGCACTCTTACGACACCAACCGTGAACGCACCATAGCGCGCATCTGGGCTGACGCCTTTAGCATCGATTGGCCCGGGCACCTCGAGCGTCTCCCATTGTGGACACACCTGTGCATGGCCACCTGTGCTCGCATTCGATCCAGGACCATGTACAGCAACGTGATGGCGTACGTTCACACCAATTGCTGGTCCATGATCGATCGGAATCGATACTGCAACATGAACTTTGCGCTCCCGACCGACGCGGGCTGGACACCCGACATTGAACTCTGCGACACCGATGCAGCCCCAATGGAGAACGTGTGGCTCGATGTCCTCGCACCATTCCTCGATTTTCCGATCGCGCTCGGGCACGCCGCGGTCATTGGCGGGCATCTGCAGCTCCTTCGCTACCTCATCCGCGAGAAGGGCGTCGTTGTCGCCGACTTTGGCTACATCCACGAGTACGGCCGCAGTGGTCCGGCGATAAACGTTGCCGCCTCGTACGGTCATCTCGAGGTCCTCAAGCTGCTCCACGACCGGGGTGCACCCTTGTGCACGACGGCGGCCATGGACAAGACCGCCGTCAATGGCCATTTCCACGTCGTCCAGTGGCTCCAGCAGCACCGCACCGAATGCTGCTCCCCCAACATACTCAATCAAGTCATCATGAATGGACACAAAGACATCGTGCTATTTCTGCAAAAGCACTATGTCGCCTCGTTCTCGCCGGCAGTGTTTCAAGCGGCCGCCACGTACAACGACGTAGACCTCGTCCAGCAGCTGCACTTTGTCTGGCACGCACCGTGCACGGCGGCCGTCATGGACACAGCCGCCGCCCACGGCAGCGTGGCGATCGTCGAATTTCTGCATCGAAACAGGACGGAAGGCTGCACGGTGCGGGCCATGGACAGCGCTGCCTTCCGCGGCGCCGTCGACGTTGTCCGATTCCTCCACAACAACCGAGACGAAGGATGCACGACCCTCGCGCTGGACGCGGCAGCCCGTTGCGGGCATCTACCGGTCGCCCAGTTCCTGACCGAGCACCGCACCGAGGGTGGCACGGTGCATGCGATGGATAGAGCGGCGCACCGCGGCTTTGAAGCCGTCGTACGCTACCTCCACGAGCACCGAGACGAAGGCTGTACGACACGTGCGGTGGACTGGGCCGCCGCCGCAGGCCATCTCTCCATTGTACGCTTTCTCCTGAAGCATCAATCGGAAGGCGGTACGTTCCGAGGCATCTACTGGGCGGCCTGGCACGACCATCGTGACTACCCTGCCATTGTGGCTTTGCTGCTGCAACACGACACGACAAAGACGCATGCTGCCGCCGCCGTCGAGCGAGCACTCCGAATCGGCGACCGCAGAACCTTTGATGCCCTTCTCGCCGCGGGTTGCGACGGCACGATCGATGTCAACGTCGACGCCATCGATTGGCGACCGCCGAGTCGCGCAGACGTGTTCCATGACGACCCCACGACAGGGGAATATGGCTACGTCGACAGAGACGAGGACGAAGAGTATTTCCGGTTTCACATGCACAGATACTGAAATCTGTCAGTGAATCTTCGCTGTAATCATGTCAAGCCGGCTTCAATAATGACATCAATGTTACGCGAGTGTCGATGCATACTAGCAGCAGTTGGCCCATCTCTCGGGAGGGTGACGGAAATACGATTGCGCATTCCAGCGCCCACGACAATGGGCAACATGAATGTAGAGTACTCGCATTGAAAAGGAATGAGCGACGTATTCCTGTTCTGATTTGCTGTTGGGTTCTTTGCAGGCTCACAGCGGTCATCGTTCTCTCCGAGTCGGTCGCCAACTATCTGGTTTTCAGGTCATGGGAACCAACAAGTGTATACTGCAGGCCGGATACAACACTTTGGAAGATATCCTGCCCTCGAATGGTGCGCGGGGCGCAGAGCTTGGCTCGATAAATGCAATTGCTTGATGATTTTGTGAATTTATCGCTATTCCGGAATATGCATCACATGTAGACGTCTATTGGCGCGACTTTTCCTGGAACGTGTTGATGCGGTTGTCGCTCATGAGCCGGATCGGGTTGCGGTGCGAGTTCCAGCTCGACTCGTTGACGTTGTCGCGGATCGGGCTGCCGCGGTTCTCCTTGTTCCAGTGCACGTGCGGGCAGCTTGTCAGGTAGCGCACCGACGCACCGCCAGCAAGCGCGCACGCGCCGACGATGACGCCAATGACGGGCCACGCGGCCGTGTCACGGAGCCAGGCCTGGGCGAACGTCGTGGCTTTAGCGCGGTGGGCCATGGTGCTGCTGGAAGAAAATGAAAAGTGATGCAGTTGTTAAAAGATCGTTGGTGTCGTCCTGGTACGAGACGACGGGTGTGCTCGCGTACCATCGCTATTCAGTGCTGGTAGAGAGTGCCATCTGGGGGTGTATGGAGGGTGCGATTGGCGGGAGAGTGCTCCAGTATCATCTTGCGTCCATGAAATGTCGGTCATGAATGGCTTGCCGAGCTGAGTCGGTCAAAGCAACTTTTGGTGGACTTGCTTTCGAGCCACCGTCTCGTTATGGCTTTGCTCGCATGATCCGACTCAATCCGGATCCGGATAAAGATACGCCGAGATTTTGGATCCAACGTAAAGAATGCTTTGTACGCTTTGTTCAACAAAGGAATGTTGCTTGTTCGATACAATAGGTTGTAGAAATCTGTCGTTGTCATTTATCCAAAAATTTAAAATGTGGGTGAACCACAGTGCTCGTTGACTTGGAGAATGTATGATGCATAACATAAGCTGCAACGTCGCTTCACCGAGTAAGAAAGGTAGCTCAAAGGCAAACAGCGAAACCAACAGCGGTAGCCGCAAGCGTCACCGCTACCGTTGGCGCTGCCGACGTGGCCATCGTTGGCGCCGGCATCGACGACGGAGCAGCTGGCGTCGCAACGGCCTTCGACATTGGAGTTGCGGGTGCCGAAGCGACTGTCGTGTCGGTCGGCGGCGACGTCAGTTGCACGAATGGAGCATACTCGAGGCCGATCATGGCCTTGATTTCGTCGCAGTTGGCGGCCTTGAGCGACGCTTGAAAGTCTGCGTACACCGCCGCACATGCCGGTGTTGAAGCGAAGAGCTGCATCTGCGCCGACGTCGGCGCCGGACTCACCTGCGTGAGCGACTTGTAGAAATCGTACGGCGCGGTCGCCTTTTGGCAAGCCGCCCACTGCGCATCGTTGGTGATGGCCGAGAGCATTTGGGCTTTCTGCGTCGACGTGCACGGCGTCGCGGCGACAGCCACCGTCATCAGGAGCAAGGCGCGAACGATAGAAATCATGCTGTCGAAATCGTTGAGGGAGGACTCTGTCGGAAGAGAACAAAAAGCAAACTGACCTGCTGCCTATGTTATCTTCGATAGCCGACAGGCCAATGGTGGTGGTGTGGCCCCTTCTCTTACAAAAGGACGGGCTGGATATGGATGGAATTGACTTCCTTTCTCGCTCTTGACAGGCCATGGGCTATGAAACTGTTGTCGCGCTGTCAAGCCCCAAACATCGCACCTGTCGTCGTAATTGTGGCGTTGAATGCTACACATATCGGGAGACGAACGAGTCAAGTTGGACGGTGCTTATACGCTTGATGCACTATCTCCGCTAAGCAACGCGAGCAGCCAATAGTCAGTTCGGCATTCGACTTTACACGTCTGAAGATGTTGTGAGGTGCCACTTTGCAGTGCGTTGACTCTCTGTTTCTGTTCCCTTATCTAGCAAGACAAGTGTGAAATTTGACGCGGTTATCAATGCTGGCCATATCTAAGTGATAGATCGCCGGAGTATCTTTATCCGGATACGGATATTTGACGTGCAGGCGCTAAGGCTAGCGTTGACCCGAGCATACTGTCTTGGCGATACTTTGTGGCGATACAAGGACACTAGCACAGAGTTAAGTGTGCTCAATACGCATAACCGTACCACTAATCGCACCCTCCATACACCCCCAGATGGCACTCTCTACCAGCACTGAATAGCGATGGTACGCGAGCACACCCGTCGTCTCGTACCAGGACGACGCCAACGATCTTTTAACAACTGCATCACTTTTCATTTTTCTTCCAGCAGCACCATGGCCCACCGCGCTAAAGCCACGACGTTCGCCCAGGCCTGGCTCCGTGACACGGCCGCGTGGCCCGTCATTGGCGTCATCGTCGGCGCGTGCGCGCTCGCTGGCGGTGCGTCGGTGCGGTACCTGACAAGCTGCCCGCACGTGCACTGGAGCAAGGAGAACCGCGGCAGCCCGATCCGCGACAACGTCAACGAGTCGAGCTGGAACTCGCACCGCAACCCGATCCGGCTCATGAGCGACAACCGCATCAACACGTTCCAGGAAAAGTCGCGCCAATAGATGTCTGTATACCATACTCGAGAGGTCTTAACAATTTGATTAAGTCATTCGTTGCATACCACCGAAGGTAGCCCACTCTTTGCTGGTAGATGGAGTCACAGGGATTCCTGATCGCAATCAAGAAGAAACGCGATTGTTTATGCTGGCGACAAACCTATATTGACTTTGTATTAAACGATATGAAAAGTCATAAACAGGCAAACCATAGAAAGCCATGAATGTGGTAAATGTGACGGCCCAAGAATTCTTTTAGTAGCGGCAGGTTACGAAGCTTTGGCGTGGAATTTTTCAATTTCAGCCTCGATGTGGCGTCGCTCGTGCGTCTCGTTGGTCGTGTCCGTAAAGACCTGCGCCTCCATGAACTCGTCCCAGTCCATGTACCACACGGTGAGTGCATACCTAGCCACACGTATTAGATTGTATCTATGCGTCGGCTCGAACCGTTTTGCGTGCGACGGCAGCACTTCGTGCGGCACCCGCGTGTCGGAAAAGAAGAGTAAAAGCCGGTCTAGAACTGGGCTAATGCGTGTTGGTGGCGTCCGGTGCAACACGAGCTGTCCGCCATCGCGTTCGTCCCAAAGAGGGTTCAAGTACAGAATCGCCGTCAGCTAGTGCGTCAACGATAAAAACGCGTTTTAAAAATCGCGTTGAACCTTGCGGCCGTTGCGGTTCGGGTTGTCGCAATGCTTGACGTACGCCGCGCCGTGACCGGGGTAGCATGTCAGCATGACGCGCTGTCGCTGCAGCGCACACCTAATATGTCGATGCGTTAAAGTGCACGCTTACTCACATCACGCGACGTACGAACGCAGTTCCGAGTTGACACCGGCGAGGCGCTCCAGAATAAGGCGATCCAGCTGACGGAGGGTCGTCACAATCGCAGGCGGACACGCGGGCTCGGTGCCGTCGAGCCAGAGCACGTCGTCGCCGCGCACCGACGCCATTTCATATCGAAGATTGCGCCCCGTTTTACCACCGGCAAGTGCGCCGCGCTCAAAGCAGAGACCGTCTTGGGCCGCGTGTAGTTGCTCGACCGCGTCGTAGAGCTGTATGGCGCTACCATGACCGAGAAAGTCATCGCAGAGTGCAAAATGTTGCTGGCTCAGAGCACGAGACAAGTCCCTACACAAAGGTTGCCTCTGGTGGACTGTATGGCGGACATGTACGTACGCGATTGCTGCGGCGTGCGGTAGCGGCGGCAACAAATCGTCGCCATCGCGATGGACAATGTGTCCACTTTCCGGCGGTGTCGCTACGCACATATGACCAACTGTAGGTTAAAAAGATGCGTACCACTGGCGTGGCCCAGAGACAGCGCCAGGACAGCGCGGTTGGCGTCGCAGTCACCTCGGCCCGCTGACGCTCGGCGAGATCATACTCGTGCTTGGCGACAGCGTGGTCTTGTTGGGCCAGCACAAGCGCTTCCGTGAGCGTCTCGACTTGCGCTTCCAGCGACGTCTTCCATTCGTGCAGCGAGGCAAACACAGTCTTTGCTTGCTCGTCGAGCGGGTCGGGTGCTTTCTCTGGTCGCGGCGTAAGTGCCCGGGGCACCAAGCACATCGGGGGCGCTAATTTCTTGGCTGTTTCGCATCGCCAGCGGGCGATATCGTCAGGTGATCGACACACGTAGGCTTCGCCCGCCAGGTACACCACAGGCAGCAGCGTGTACGGCCAGGTGTAGCAGAGTTTGGTGTGCCAGTCGTCGTCCGCGTCGCCTTGGGCGTCGAGGCCAACCGTATCCAGCACGTGCACCGCAAAGGTGGCGTCGCTAGTGCGGGAGGCCGTGAATGCGTCGGCTCGGAAGGGCACCAAGCCGGAGGGCTCGACGGTGACGACGTTGCCAAACGCGTTGGTGAGCGCTGCCGTCTCCCAGTGCATGATGCGCGTCATGTACAAGTCAAGGCTCGACAGAGACGACGATGCGCTTAACGCGTGGAGCAAAGGAAAGAGTTGGTACGACAAAAGCGGGCAGTAGGCCAGATTGACGTGACGCAAGTGCGGACATTGCTTGACAAGATTCTGCACATCCTGGTCGGACACGAGCAGCGACGCCAAGTTGAGAGACTGCACGACGCTACGGACATGCCCTTCGGTCGTATTCGTGTGCAGGATCAAATGGAGGTAGCGATCCAGTCGCACGTGCGTGGGCTGTATCGCAAGGTCGACGTGTCTCCAGTGGCTTGCCTCCGACACAACATCTCTGAGGCGCCGCGAGACGTGGCGTATAACAGTCGCATTCTCCCAAGAGGTCAGAAACGCGACAACATAGCCCACGACCTCGACAAGCGAGCGGCCGTCGGAAACCACTGGCGCCATATCAAACTCGAGCTCGTCAATGTCGGTGATGGTCTCGACGTTGCCGTCGTCCACGTACTGGATGGTCCATAGCATAGGCGTCGCGTCATCAGCGTAGGTAATATCGAGGACCTTGCACGGAAAGCGCAGGTCGTCGAGGACGCGCACGACCAATGCGCCGACGGCGAGCTTGGCCATGATGCAACGCGCCGGTTCAAGATCTCAAAATTCGAAAAACTACAATCCATGTCTTGACGACATTGCTTGCTTCTTGCAGTGCACCCTTTGCGCAAACCTGGCTCGCAAAAGCTCATGGAAGCATACTTGACTCCATCAAAGAATGTGGAACAAGGCTCTAAGCTTACATGTACATATAAGAGTTCGGCTTTGAGGACAGCTTGCTATATGAAAGAATGCATTGTCTTGATCAAATTGTTGAGGGCTCTTATGTATGGCATCTATTTGCGCGACTTTTCCTGGAACGTGTTGATGCGGTTGTCGCTCATGAGCCGGATCGGGTTGCGGTGCGAGTTCCAGCTCGACTCGTTGACGTTGTCGCGGATCGGGCTGCCGCGGTTCTCCTTGCTCCAGTGCACGTGAGGGCAGCTCGTCAGGTAGCGCACCGACGCACCGCCAGCGAGCGCGCACGCGCCGACGATGACGCCAATGACGGGCCACGCGGCCGTGTCACGGAGCCAGGCCTGGGCGAACGTCGTGGCTTTAGCGCGGTGGGCCATGGTGCTGCTGGAAGAAAGAATGAAAAGTGAAGAAATTGTGCAAAGATCGTTGGCATCGTCCTGGTACGAGACAGTATAGTTTCGCGCGGAACGCGTACAGCTGGGTTTTTGTACCAAGGCCAAGCAACGGCGCCATCTTGAACCGCTGAACCGCCAGGCCCAACCGCCAACTCACCCAATATGGCAGCTGCTCCTCCAGCTCTCTTATAATAGCTAGCAAGGCGCAACCGCCGAGATCAAACACACGAAGCTCACTTGCGACGATCTCGTCCAACTCCAAAGCTCTTAGTTACTCGACGCTCTTTCAACCCACCCACCAGTTCCTTCTAGGGCGTCGGCAGCCTCCCAAAACAAGCCCCGGTCGTCTCCCATATGCGCTTGCGTCTATAGCTTAGGGGACGAAAGACGGGCGTGCTCACGTACCATCGCCAGTCGGTGCTAGTAAAGAGTGTCATCTGAAGCGTTTCTGGATGGTGCGATTAGTGGTAAAGATTAGAGGTAGAGTTCCCTGTACATGTGTAACTGACACCTGCACTGCCGTCCTGAGTCGAGGTGGGCAACGCGTCGTCTGGAGGGGTTAATGTCCAGCGACCGTCGCGGGTGTGTCAGAGCTAGGTACTGACGGGGCAGTCGCTTTTTGCGTTCAACTATTTTGACTCAAGCTACAGACTCTCACGACATAAACGCTCATGCCCGATCACTGTTACTGGTCGATAGATACGACGTTGATTCGCTGTCATTCGCACAGCAGTATTGGCAGTACGCTCACAATGCAGTTCCCACAAGTGCCTTGGTTAAAGCAGTCAACGGTCGAAACCGGCGCGATGCCGTCCGCGATTGGTATAGTGACATTGGCCCACGCAGCGACGTACTATGGCGAACTCGACGCAGGTACAGTGGTTCCGAGGTGCCCCAACACGACACCACATGACCTGTGGTATGGTAGATGGCCGCCCGCACGGCACTGGTTGCTTGTACTTTTCTGCCGGCGGCTACTACGCCGGGAGTTTCGTCGGCGGGCGCAAACACGGCCCTGGCGTCTACGGCTTTCCAGACGGCTCGCGGTATGAAGGCGACTTTGTCGACGATGAGCGCGACGGCTACGGTGTGCACTCGGTGCCGATCGGCGACCGCTACCGGGGTCAGTGGCGAGCGTCGACGCAGGATGGCGTCGGCGAGGTCCTCGAGCGGTCGGGGCGGTTGCGCCGCGGTATCTTTCAATCCAATGCCTTTGAGGTTCCGCTCGAGCACTCGGACGATGTTGTCGCGCACTTGGTAAAAGCGACGGAAGCGCAGCAGTGCGCGTTCATCGCCGAGCGCAGCGCCCGCGCGTCCGAACAAACTGCCCATTTCCAAGCCTCCATGACCATCGGTGGGACCTGCTCGGTGACTGCGTCATCACTTACAACGCTGTACACGCGTAGATGGCTGCTACATCCAGACGGACGCCGACTTGGACGCATACGAAGCCGAGGCCCATGCACGGCAAGAGTCGTCGAGTGCGGCGTGGCTGCGCGACTTTCGGTCACTCGAGGCCGAGACACAGGAAGGCAAGACCGAAGAAGCGACGCTGGGCGAGACGCAAAAGCAGCTCTACTTGACGATCCAAGCCCGCCGCAAGGAGCTCGCGCGTCTGAGCATGTTTTGGGACGTTGTCCAAGACAAAGAAAAACACCTGGCCGAGGCAAGTCGCGTCTTGAAAGCTGTGGAATGCGAGATAGCGGCCGAGATGGCGTGGGCCAACAAGGCTCAACCTTCAGCGCGCATCACATCTCCACGGCGATCGACGAGCCGTGCACCGAGTATCCACGCACCAAGCCTCGAACCAAATGTTATGACGCGTTCGCCTCGACGTTCGCTGGGCACTCTGCCACCAGTAGGGAGCCCCCGGTCAGAGATAGATGCATAGAATATCTACATGCGCGATATTGATTTTCGATATTCGGCGGTTAAAATGTCGAAGCATCCAAACACCGACCGCGTGCTGAGTCACATTCCTTGCTGCGTTGTGGACCGTGGGCGCGATGAACAAGTCGCACCGATCCCCGCTTCGGTCGGGCGCCCGGAGCATCTACGCCGGGCTCTTGGATGCCCTCTTTGTAACCGCGCATGTCCTCGTTGGCTACGGTACGTACGCGAGTTACGACTGGGTCACCACCGAGCTCTACCCTCTGGGTGCGACGCTCCTCGCTGCCCCCGTGCTACCGCCACCGTCGCTGTGCCGCACGCTCTTTTCGACCCCGTCGCCCACCGATGTCCATGTTCTGGACGCCCCCCGTGACGGCCTCTTTGTCATGCGCAACGGCGCCAACGTCGGTCGCGCCATGACGTGGGTTAGCGTCGGCGCACCCGGAGACGACTGCGTCGCGCCCTTCTCTCGCGCCGCCGCCCACGTCCTTGGCGTTGCGGGCCCCGACGTCTTTGCGCCGATCACGCTATACGACGACGCGGGCCACAAAATCGCACCCACATTTGCCAGCATCGTGGCGGCCAAGCGTGTGCATCTGCTGCTGCACGGTGAGGTGTGGGTCTGGCCTGGCATCGCTCTCGGACACGAGTGGACCGCGGACGGCTACGCGATGCGCACGCTCTCGCTCTCGCCAAAAGTACATGCCTTGACGCAAACGTGGGATGCAGACAATGTGTCTGAATTAGGTCATCCTCGTGCGCGACTTTCTCGACGATTCGGAATGCAGCGCCCTTGTGGAGGGCGGGCGGGACCTACTCGGGCCGTCCCACACGGTCGACAAGGCCGCCAACCACCGCCTTGCTCTGCGCACGAGCTCGACCGCGTTCCTTGGGTACATTGCAATATGACAAAGCGTCGTCGTCATCTTTAGAATAGCCACGTCGCCGTGGCAACGAATATAAAGGAGCGCGCAACGAGGCTGGCACGGTTGCCCGACGTGAGCTACACGGAGGACCTTCAGCTCGTGCGGTACGGACCAGGCCAGTGGTACAAAAAGCACACGGATTACTTTCAACACCTCGACGTCTCGTCGCATGCGCGTGCGGGGACGTCACTGGCGCACTGGGTGCGCTGGGTCCAGTCACAAATCGGCCGCACGGCTTCGTTGGCGACGACGCACCCATTGTATCCGAGCCTGTCGTCTGCGTTTGAGCGGTCCTTTGCGCGGCTGCTGCTCGAACGGGACGCCATTCAAGACAAAGCGGTTGTGTCGTGGCTTCGACACCATCTGGAGCACGAGTATCTCTTGTCGTCGCTACTGGCCGCGTGGAGTCCAACGAACCCGCTTCTCTTTGCCACGTGGCGTCGCGTCTGGGAGGACGCCGTGGGGATCCCCGCGCTGCAATGGCGGTAGCATCCCACAAGATTTTGCATCTACGTAGTATTGAATGATGCCCTCTGTAGCGACCCGCTGCAGCTCAAGTACGTCGAGCCGAACCGACACGCAACGCTCTTCTTGTACTTGAACGACGTGGCCCACGGCGGCGAGACTGTGTTTCCGTACGGAACACCAATGTCGACGACGACGACGACCATGACGTCGGGCATGCCCGAGTGCGCGCGCGGTCTCTCTGTCAAGCCAGCGAAGCGCGCAGGCGTCCTCTTTTACAACAAGGCGCCGACGGGCGAGAACGATCCAAGAAGCATGCACGGCGGGTGCCCGCCGCAGGACGGCGACACCAAGTGGGGAAGGTAGTACACACAACACTTGTACGTGGCATCCACTTCACTTTATGGTGTAGCAACGTCTTTATGTGGAACGTCGACGCGGCGTATGGCAACAAGAAATGGCGCTTTTGGTAGGAGCCATCGTCGTTCCTCGCACCGAAAATATATCAATGTATCAAGAGACACCGTTTTCATACACGAACCTCGCCGTCAATGATCCTCCGTCAGTCTTTTTTAGCAGTGGCGTGCGATCTCATCGTTGGCAGGCTTTCTGCCACATGTAAAGTTTGGTAAATGTAAAATTAAACAACTTTCATCTGGACATCGACGCCGATAATAACACGACGAGACCTCAGTGTGTTCTGAAGCCCCACAAGACCTCTACATGCTGTCACTGGTTTCTGTTTCTCGATGATGCTGGCATCCAAAGCTATTCGAGGAGTGGGGGCTTCAAGACAGAAAGGACGTGTGCTTACCCTTATCAAATAACATCACATGTGTGCCCTGGCTATCTCAAAAAGGCCGTACCGATAAGGCCTTTCTGAGAGTCACGACAATATTGCGCGTCACTGCACTGAACATGGAGGTCAGCAGCCGTGTATCTGCTGTAGCAACAGGTGAGTATTCGCGGCTTTGGTCTTCTCAGTCAAACTCTACTCTCCAGCACGATGTGTTCGGTGGGCGATGTGGTTCTGTATCCGGAATCTCCGGATACGAGCCGTCCAATTCCCATCGCAACCAGGCATGCGGACGCTGAAGTGCCCGTGCAAGGCGCGCAAGTGCGACGAGTGCAAGGGCTGCGTCAAGTGCCAGTGCCACTGCCATGGGCCGCCACCGCGCCTGCCTGCCGAGAAGCGGCCCACGAAGGTCAAGAAGCCGCCCAAGGTCAAGACGCCTCGCACCAGCAACGGCGACGACCCGACGCCCAAGCGGCGCCAGTTGACCATGGACGAGCTCATGCAGCCGCGGCGACGGTCATCGAGCGGCGAGAAAAAGGCCGCTGAAGATGCTGTGGACACGCTCGAGGATGCTGCGGACGACGCCGACGACGTGCAGCCACGCCGATCGTCCCGGTCGCAGAGCGTCGTGGACCAAGGAGACGAGCCAGACACACCAGCCGTCGCAACGGACGAGACTGCTGCCGCGGATAATGTAGATGCAAACGTAGTGGATGACGGTGGTGAAAGCACCGCTGTTGAACCGGTGCCCGAAGAACCCGTGGTCGTGCCCGAACCGATGAGCCTCGAGGACCAGCTGCAAGCGCTCATGGACCGCAGAGAGACCGAGGTGAGCGAGCTCGCGGCGCTCGAGCGGCAGATCTTTGAGCTCGAAGGCGCGTACTTGCGGCGCAACCAGCACGCTGGCAACATTGCGAAGGGCTGGGCGCCGGCCAAGACCTTTATCGCCGAGGTCATGAAGGACCAGCTCCTGGAGCTCGAGCTCTCGGGCGAGAATCCGCCCGACATGACGCGGGCCGAAGAAGACGCCGTGAGCCAGCAGCGCATCTTTTCGTTTTCGTCCACGTCGTCGCCAGCAGAGCTCTTAGCGCAGCAGTGGGTCGAGCACAAGTCTTCGGACGAGCTCTTGGCCTTGCGCCTCGCATCGGCGCCCGTCAGCCGAGCGCTGCGCAAGCGGGAGCTCACAGTCGACACGACCGAGAGCAGCCCGTCGCCCGACGAAGGCTCTTCGTCGTCGGCCAAGCCCCGATCCAAGTCGAAGCGAAAGCGATAGCTGTATTGCCCCAGAAATCAATGTACCTTCATCCAAAACCTATCCCGTGTCAACGATCCGCCACATGTAATAATATCTCTCTAAAGCAGCCTCCCACATCCTTTCTGTGGTGCTCTAGCGAGGGCTCAATGCGCAGAGCGTTGTCTACAATGTGGCCGGCATGCGAGACCAAGTTGCGTCGCCATCTCCCGATGCGTCGTCTCATCCTCTCATCCTCTCATTCGGCAGCGCAGTTCAAATCCGGCCCGTGCTCACGACATTGATACGGAAGGCTTTATATATAGTAGAGGCTTATCGAGATGGACAGGCTTATCGAGATGGACATTGCGGATGCAATTAGCACGAGTAAAACATGACGCCTTCGAGGATCGCAATGACCGTCGTGAGGAGCTTGAGCGTGCCAAAGGTCGAGAGGCCAAAGAACGAGTTAAAGTACGCAATCCACGTAAAGATCGACCACACCGTCGACGGAATGAAGGCCCAGATCGACGCGACGAGCCAAAGGTGCAAGAGCAAGTTGGGCACGTCCGAGTGGCTCGAGAGGTCGTTTGGCACAGGCGCGGCGCCGGCCTCGAGGTAAATGCGGCGCAGCGCGAGGCGGTTCGCGTTGCGCGACTTGGCCGGGTCGACATGGTACTGCGGCAAGTACCGGACGAGGCACTTGCCGGGCAGCGTAAAGATACGGGCCGGCGGCCAGAGCTCGTAGGCGCCAATGACAATCGCCGGCGTAATCGGCGCGCCTGCGTCCGACTGGAGGTAGAACGGTCCCTTCTTGAAGTCTTGGAGGAGACCCGACTTGGACCGCGTGCCTTCGGGCGAGATGGCGACCGACCGGCCATAGTCGACGACGGCGCGCGCGAGGTGCTTCAAGCTCGTCTTGGCGCGCTCACTACATGTTGTCGGACACGCCATGAGATAGAGTTGGAAGAGAGGCCGCGTACATGTTGGAGCGGTCAATGGGAATGTTGCCAAAGCCCCAGCGGAAGACCCAGCCGACAATCGGGATCAAAAACAAACTCTTCTTGCCGATGAACTAGACCGACATGAGCGAATCGCATCGAGCGAGAGAGGAGGTCGCACCTTGAGCACGACAGGGGACGAGCCCTGGATCATGAGACCGTCCAAGTTGGAGCCGTGCCTACCGCGCCGATCATATAATGAGCAACATCATCCACGACAATGCAAAAGAGCGTACGAGAACATCATGACTGTGGACCCGCCGTTGAGCGCGCGCACGTTGTCTGTGCCTTCCGTGACGATGTGGATGCCGCCGACGGCGCAGAGCGCCCAGCCAAACCACCATTGGATAAAGTCGACGGGCAGGTAGTTGTTCTTGACGCCCATCTTGCGCAGCGTAATGTGCGTCCAGCGGAGCGGGATCAGGAAGAAGAAGATCGCAAAGCCGCCAAAGAAGAGCATCGCGAACGACGCAAGGCGCACGCCCATGTACACCTTCTCAAACGTGCTCTTGTCCTCGGGCTGGATCTCGAGCGTCAATTGCTTCCGCAGCGCATGGAAGCGCGCGACGACCGCGATCATGGCCTCGTCCTTGCTCTGCGCAATGTCGTCGCTCATGGCCTTGGTCGGCGAGTCGGCGGCGGCCGTCTCGATCTCATGCAGAAGCGCTTCCTCGACGTCGAGGTGGATGTACTCGGATTCGGCGTGGAGCGCTCGGCGCATCTGGTTGCGCTGCGCCAGCGTCGTCGAGGCCACGATGGCCTCTTGGTCGGCGAGGAAGGCGGCGACCTTGGCTTCGACGGCTGCCAGCCGCGCGTCCACGTTGAGTTCTCGGAGGAGCGTCGCTTCCATCGGAAGAAGAATCTCGGGAAATGACGAACTCGAGCTGCCTTGCTCGCCGCCCAATACCTTGATCTTTGTATGCACGGTGTTTGGACGCGTCAACAGGCGCGTTGATTTCATTGGCCAAGTCGCTTCAACTTTTGGCCAATCACACATGGGATGACGACGTCGGCGTCGAGTCAACAGCGCCACGGCGCCGGCGCCGGCCGTGTCTCTGGCGGTGGCCGGCGATGGGAGGTGCGAGGCCGAGCGTAGCTTACGTATGATATATGGCTTCGGCAGCCAACGGCGCCGGTATCGTCGCCGATTGGCGGGCGTTGAACGGTCGACGACACCCTGTCGAGTCGACAACCGTGACAAGCACGCGGGTACCGACGGCGTCTCTGCGCCCATGCTGATGCGAACTGGCAATGCACGGAGCATGCTACGGAGTCGCGTTCACGCAGCTCATGACGTCGGCAGTGCTACCAATGTGACGGTGGCGGCACCTCCGGTCGCGCTTCAACCGCACTTCAACAATGTGCTCGGATCTGCCGCGTCTACGGTGTACTTGGTGATAGCCAACGTCAGCAGCGTACAGAACAGGATGGCGAGCGACAGCTGCTACATGTAGTACGAGGGCACGGCCACTACGAAAGTGCAGAATGCGCTCATTGCAAAGACCAAATGGCTGCTTCTTCGTTGCCATTGCCATGAGGCGTCGGCGAGAAGGAGCTCTGAGAATCGCGCGGCTGACATGTGTCTTTGCTTCGTGCATGTCGAGAATGCGGCAAAATGACGTGGCTACACCATATATTTGTGTCGCGAGGCTTGTCCTAGTGTCTGGAGACCGGTATATACTCGAGCAAGTCACCAGTTGATGCGCCGCCGCCGACGAGGACGAGCGATGCGTGCACTGCATGGACGTCTGCAGAAACAGTGACAAACGCGAAGCTATCGGTAGACAACGGGGACGGGAGTTCCGAACATGCATTCCAAGCGACAGAGTGCTCTAGCCGAGAGACCTTGCCCTTTATTGTGGCATTCGTTCCATCTTCGTTTTGCTCGACTGCCGACAGCGCCGTGGCTACATCGAATGCATTTCCACGTTAAAGAACGCGATGGCGACGAGCCACGCGGCGACGCTACAGAGGCCGCCGAGGAAGATGGGCAGTGTATACCCCCACGCCGTAGTGACCGCCACCGACGCGCACACATAGTTCAAGAGTTGCCCAAAGCACAAGGCCGAGTTGAGGGAGCCGGCAAACCGCCCGGCGTCGGCGTCTGGTCCGAGCACGTGCACCACGAGCGGCATCGCAAGCGCCATGATCGTACACTGCGTGACGCTGACGAGCCCGACGATCGCCAAGTCGATGGCCGTCTCTTTGCAAAACGCCAACAAGAGCAGCAGCACCTGCGGCACGCAGCCATAGGCAACGACACGCTTGGCGCCAAACCGGCGCACGAGTCGAGGCAGAAAGAGCAAGTAGGCAAGGCCCACGAGGTAGAGGGCGTCGGCACTGCCAGCCAGCTGCACACCGCGGTTGTAGGCGTCTTGCGCAGGAGAGCAGGCGCTGCCGCACATATCGGCGCCCGCCGCGTCGCCGCCGTTAACGACAAGGCCAAAAAACTGACCTTTCGACGAGTTGTACGCCGTGTAGCCATACTGCGTCAAGAACGCAATCGCAAAGTAGACGCGCAGCGGCGGCGGGAGGTCGCGCAAGCCCGTGTAAACAGCTCCGAGCACTGCGGTCGTCGCGGACGGTGTCGGCACCGGTGTCGACGTTGTAGGCAGCGGCTGCTCGTACACACAGAGGCACACGAACGAGGACGAGACAAACATGACGCTGATGAGGACGCTCAAGAAGGACTGGAGGCTGTTGTACGCAGGGCCAAAGAGATAGGTGTAGGCTGCCACGATCAAGTACCCGACGGCTGTGATGAGGCCACCGACAACCTGCGCCGTGACTTGCCGGTCGCCAGCAAAGTCGGCCAAGATCAAGTTGAGCGGCACCTGGGCAACGTTGAGCGTGATGTCGATCCAGACGTAGCAGAGCACAGCGAGGAAGCTCGTCCACGGGCGGTCGATGTCGGTGTCGCCGAGCGCCCGCCCGATCGGCATGATGTACATGAGCAGCACCCAGCAGAGGATGCTAGCGGTGGCGCCAAGGGCGAGGAATGGACGCCGCCGTCCAAAGCGGCTCGTGCATGTATCGCTCCAGACACCGACAGTCGGGCCCAAGAGCACGCCCGAGATTGGCCCCGCCATTTGCACGAGCTGCACCGAGGTCGAGCTCAAGAGAATCTGGAGCAACGGACCGTACACGGCGGTTTGGGCCGACCACGCCATCGCGATGGCCATGCGCGGGAGCGACAGCAGCGTCATAAAGCGGAGTGAACACCCCGTTGGGTTCAGCTCTGAGGTTTCGTCGTACGTCGAGGCTAGCGGTGACGTAGGTTCGAAGCCCGTACCAGCTACGTCTGCCTCGACGCTCTTGGGCGTTGCCATTAGCTTCACGAAGGCGAGAAAGTGGGACCTACATCACCGTGCTCGCAGATTCGCGTCCATGCAAGCATCAAATCAACGGCGCGATGTGGTGGTTTTCTGAACCCGCAAACGTTCCAGTCGTTCCAGTGCCCGTCGTACTAGTAGTTGGTTTTGTGTTCTGGTAGCAACTAAAGGCGTGGCACACTGGTCTACATCTTCTACTAACTACCGAACTGGCATCAACTGTACCAGAAGCCTTTTCCTCAAGGCACACTACAAGGCGCATCTTGAAATATGAGACAAGTTCAAGGAGTCTGTAGCGTTGCTCGTGCAATCTGCTCTTTGACGTTGAAACCTAGACGACTAAACGACTAAACGACTAAACATGTAAACGACTAAAAGACTCAACGACTAAACACCAAGGAATGACCGATGCAACACAAACGAGGCATCAATATCGACAGCTTACGGCAGTGTGCGCCTAGCAGCAACGACGACGTGTCCCTTTTAACCATGCTTGGACCACAACGCTCCCTCACAGCATTAATCGGTACACGGCGGACGCATCGACTACACCATAAACTAATAAAACGACTACGGGTTCCATCGTTGTTCTCGGAAAGAACACGTCGTAGAATCGAGAAAATTAATTCAAGCTTGTACAATGTATGTAGATGTAATAAAAACGATCGGTTTCACAGGGCCCCTCGCCGCTCTTGCCGTTTGTATGGATTTGACATTCACTCTTCAAATCCAACGAAGACGACGATGAGCAACCGCAGCAGCGCCGCCGCCGAGGCCATCTCGTTCCTGCATGACCTCCACCGCATGTGGGGCGCGGGCTCGATGGACTTTGCGCCGGAAGACCCGGCGTACGTGGCCTTCCTCCGCCATGTGGCCATGGTCTGCTTCAGCATTGGCCTCGTCGCGTTCGCCCTCTTGCTCCTCATCGTGGCCCGGCGTATCTTCTTGGCCGCGCCAGCGCGCTTCCGCCGACGTGCGCATCATGAGGCTTCGTTTGACGTCATGGCCGTGGTCTTGCTGGGTATCACGGCGCTGAGCGCGCTCAGTGGCCTGCTCGCCGAGGCGCAGGTCGACTACAGCGTGCACAAGATCGCACACAGCATGAAGAACGTGTCGCACACCTTCCATGAGATCCAGGCCGTGACACAAGGCGTCGAGTATTCGGCCAGCGGCGTCCGAGCGACCGTCGACGACATGATTGTGGCGTTCAATAGCTCGTTGCCGCACGACGCCAACGACCTCGCGATCGAGGCCTTACGGTACATGGCCCTCTGCTCATGGCGATGCTCATAGACAATGCATTAGCATGGACCACGCCGGGCAGGCGCTCTTGGAGCACGGCCGCGCCCTCCCTAGCAACCTCTCGTCCATGGCGTTCAACTGGGAAGCCGAGTACTTTTGGATCAAGTCGTCGACGAACGGGATTATTTTGACCATGGCGCTCTCGTGCTTCCTCGCCATTGCGGCCATTGGGTGGTCCATGTCGGGGTCGCTGCGCTTTGCTATCTTTCTCGTGCTCGTGATCATTCCGTCGTCGCATGCGCTCTTCGGCGTCTACTTGTCCAACTCGATCGAGGCCGCCGACTACTGCATTGCGCCATCGCACAACACGCTCCGCCTCTTCCGCAACGACTCGGGCGTGGCGTACTTTGTCGAGTGTCCGTCGAACGCGACGTTGTACGCGCCGTCGTGGGCGCGAATGAACGCCAGTCACGACCACGCGCTGGCGCTGGAAGCGACCTTGGCCGACTACGCCAAGACGCTGCCGACGATGGACCGCGAGAAGCTCCAGAGCATGTACCTAGACCCGATTCACGAGCAGTTAAAAGCTCTCTCGACGCTCCGCGCACGCTTCGCGACCGTGTCGGCATGCACGTCGACCAAGGCGCTGCACACGGACGTTGTCGACTCGTGGTGCACGTACGGTGTCCTCGGCCTCCTCTCGCTCTGGCTCCACCAAGTGGTACTCTGCGTGCTCCTCTTTATTAGCGCCGTTGCGCTCGTCGCGGTGTACGAGAACGTCCGCGCCAAGGAAGACCGCCTCGAGATGCAGTACCATCTTCTCTCGAGCTACGAAGACGAAAACCACGTCGAACACTTGTACATGACGCCTGAGTAGGTTGCGCGTCGCTATCTGCATGTCGTATATTTCCAAGTGTTTGCTTCTACGGCTTGTGTTGTCGCCTGCTGCCATGCTGGAGATGGAACCATAACTAGAGCAGCTAGCCCTCGAGAAGATGGCTCTTCCCACCCCAGCTTTGTGATCAATCCTCCGCAAATCTCATCAAGCCATCATGAGTGGACCTAAAGAACTGCTGGCGGTGCACGATCAAGCCTTGCAGTATACTCGTGGAACCCGTGTCAACATGAGCCCCAGAAAGCAGCCTGCAGAGCTCTCGAGCCAAGCGCACCAGAAAACTCACGTGTTGGCGGCGCCGTCGATCCAGAGCTGACGTGGAGTGGCCGTCGTTCCGGGATATCAGGATATCGACACTTAATTGGCTGCTACGGTATTGCCGAGAGGCACAAGCAACTCGAGACATGCCAGGCTTGCGCTGTGTACAACATTTGTGCAGAGCAAACGCAACTTGGATCAAACGATAGATTACTCTTGATCAATGTATGCACGGGTCGAAGTTCGGATGCTCGGGTACATACTCATTTGCACTCCGCAACTGAAAGAGCTCGACCAGTTATTTCTCTGTCGTACTATGACTGCTGTTTTTTCGTCCTCCGTGACATGAAGCTCCCTCGCGTCGCTGTTGCCGGTCTCCTCTTTATTGCTGCCCGCAAGGCCAAGCATCCTCCATTACGTCTGGTAGCACGTCCAACAACGCCACGCCTGCCGCCGACACCTCCCCAACGTTGGTTGCTGCCACGTCTGTAGCCGCAGCGCACCCAAAAAGAGATTGAGCCAACATCGCCGTCGGCTGGCTTGGTCAGCGATGCCACGCCTGCTCCGATCGAAGACGTCATTCCAGCCGCGATTGCCAACGCCGCGTCGTCGGGCGTCTCGGGCGATGACTTGGTTGCTGTCGCCATCTCGGCCGGTGTCGACCCTGCGATTGCCCGTGCCGTGGCTAGTGCTGCAGGTAGTGCCGCCGGAACGCTGGCACCGATCGCCGAGGTCATTCAGGCTGCTCTTGACAGCGGCGCAAGCTTGGGTCGGGCGCAAGCCGTTGCGTCTGTCGAAGCGATCCAGCAAGTGGCCGCGGACGCCGGTGTCAAGTCGTCGGTGGCGCTCCAGTTGGCAAATTGTACTGTCTACTACAGTTTACAACAGTCTACTACGCTCCACGACAGAAGCTCCTCGTGGTGGGTGCATCGCCGATAGTTTACATACTCCGCGCGCACCTTGCTTGACACGCAAAGGCAGGCACATCCGGATACACCGCGGGATGTCGGGCGGCGCATCCGGATTCCCAACTGCTTGATGACCCAAGCCGAATTATCAGCATGGCCAAGGAAGGTGGGTACTATGCGGTGGCTGTCGGCCGCACCGCCGGTGTCTACCGGACGTGGGACGATGGCGCCAAGGAGCAGGTCCATGGCTTTCCAAACGCTCGCTACAAGAAGTTCACCACCGAGGCCGACGCCACCGCCTTCATGCAGCGCCACGGAAAGCGGACGCGGTCGCCCGACGTTGAAGCGCCGCGGCAAGTGCGTTCAAAGACCGAGACCAAGTTCTACGCCGTCGCGCGGGGCCTTCGTGGCGTCTCGGGCGTGTACACGTCGTGGGCCGAGGCGTCTGGTCATGTGCAGGGCTTTCTCGGCGCCAAGTACAAGTCGTTTCTGACGCGCGCCGAGGCGGACGCGTTCATCGCCACCCATCGCGCGATCAAGGCCGGTGCGGCCGTCGTCGACCCGTCGTTGCCGGATCCGAAGGACCCGGCGACGCTCGTGGCCTTTTGCGACGGCAGTGCGATCGGCAACGGCAAGCGCGGCTGCAAAGCGGCATTTGCGTGTGTGTTTCCGCACCACGACGAGTGGGCCGTCTCGGGCAAGCTGCCGCCCGGCGTCTTTGCCACGAACAACCGCGCCGAGTACTTGGCGGCGATCGAGGCGATGAAGCGCGCCAACGTGCAAGACCCAGCGCAGACGCGGCCGCTGTACATCTTCTCGGACAGTATGCTACTGATCCAGTCGATGACCGAGTGGCTTGCCGGCTGGCAGGCCAGGAACTGGGTCAAGGCCGACGGTGCGCCGGTCAAGAATGCCGATTTGCTCCAAATTCTCCACTCGACGCAAGGGGCGCGTCGCATTCTCTGGCGGCACGTCAAGGCGCACACCAACAAGAAAAACTGGGAGTCGGTCTGGAACGACAAGGTCGACAAGCTCGCGCGGGCCACGGCCATGAGCTAAGACCTATATATCATGTTGCATGTCTCTACCTGGTGATGACTTCAAATTCGTGCCGTACTGGACGATTTTGTTAGCGAGTCTGGAGACGATGCAGATGCCGATGGCAGACAGCTTGTCCGTCATGACAATATCCCGCTATGTCTGGCGATCACTGAGTCTAATACGATATACAACAAAACTCAACGTGCAATCAGTGTACACAGTGCCGTCGTATGCAGTCGATTACGTGGTCGGTGTTATCTAGTCGCGCTTTTGGTTGGCGGCTGGCACCGTAAAGACCGTGATGCCAAGCGCCGTCTTGACTTCGTAGATGACCGAGACCACAATGTGGATGTAGGCGACGAACGAGATGAAGAAGAACTCGTTCAGAAAGAGGGTTTCCGTCTCCTTCTGGACCGGGTAAATCCCTTGCCAGTGGCTAAAGCCCCAGTGCGCCGCCACGTAAAAGATGGGCACCAGCGTCTTTCGGAACGGGTGGTACTCTTCGCCGCAGAGGTGCGCGAGCATCAAGTGCAGCTACAAAACATCGTCGACACGACGCACTGTCAGCATGACATACCACGAGTTTGCTGTTGAGGAGCCCGATCGTCCAGAGAAACATGCGCGGGTGGATCGCCTTGATATTGGCCGGCGACAGAATCGCCCACAGAAGCGCGAGCCCGTTCAAAATGGCAAACGGCGTCAGACGGGTGAGCGCGATGAGAAACGACCCCTTCTGGGCGTGCACGGTCTTGATGACGTTGATCAAGCTACGACAGCATGCATGCATCGCATCTTCCTGCAGCACATAGCAAGAGCGTACTTGGCGAGGACGGTGAACGTCGACGACGCAATCATGACACCGAGGAAGATCGTGTTGTGGAGGACACCGGGTAGGATCGTGGATTCTTGGAGCCAGAACGACGGACCTTCATTGACTCGTCAGTGTATAAAGTCGATCAGAAAGAGGCGCCGTACCCATGATCGCCGTAAAGAGCTTGATGCCAATCGCAATCAAGACGCCTTCGGTGGGCCCGTTCAGAATCGGAAGGTCGAGCGACCCTGTGTAGTACTCTTCCCACGTCGCCGCGATAAAGACCATGTTGACCCAGAGACCGAGGCACGTGGCCTTCCAGCCCGCGCCAAACTGCACGACGCACGACATGGTCATGCTCCCGATCGTGCAGTTGATCGCGTCGCAGCCGTGGTCAAAGAGGAGGCCGAGCGGCGACGACGTGCCGGTGCGCCGCGCTTGTTTGCCGTCCAAGTTGTCGAGCGTCTAATCGAGATCTATCGAGATCTATCGATCGAATGGTCGGCATACCTGGTAGGCAAAGAGAGCAAAGGCGGCGTAGACGTACACCCACGGCGGGCACTCGCCGTCGAGCGACGGGCAGTAGTAGAGGAAGAGCAAGTGCGAGCTAATGACCGCGAGCAGCCCGAGCAGCGTGATCTATCGCCAATCGGATAAGGTGCCCAAAGTGCAAAGTCGTCGTATTACGAGGTTGGGCGCGAGCCAGAGCGGGAGGTACTCGAGGAGCAAGTTGTTCATTGGCGTCAGCACATGCTTGTAGATGAGCGAGTGGTCGTTGCCCTTGTACGAGTAGAGCTTGAGGTTCTTCGAGCCTTCCTTCGAGACGTACTTGCCAAAGTACATGGACTTTTCATCGCTCGTCAATGGCGGGGACATCCTCGTTTCTAAGAATGCTTCTGCGTCAACATCATCGGGCGTCATCCGGATACGCCGCCATGACATCCAGCCCGCCAGTAATATCCGGACAGGTCCTCCACTTCAAGGTGATATGAAGGCTAGTCAAGCACTGCAATGCTGCTGCTGCGCTGGCCGGTTGCATGGACGCGCCACTTCGTACGCGCCAAGCTACGGCGTGCGCTCAAGCGGAGATCGGCAGGGTTCGTTTGGGTGCGTTTAGCCAAATACCCCGTGCGCCTGGCCTTGCACACGGTGCGGTGCCAACTTGAGTCGTCGGAAATGTGATATGTTAGTCGTCGCTGAGGACAAAGTTGTACATCGTCCATCACCGTCAATTGAACGCTGCTGCAAGGAACCCCCGACGATATCACAGGCGTCGCGAGGCAGTTGGATCGTACTTGTCGTGCCCGATGGCGCTGAGAAGGACCAACGTATGGTAGCATCATCTGCAACACAGCACGTTAGAGGAAGGAGCACGGTTGTGTCGCGAGGCGCCGCTGCCAGCTCCTTCTTCTGCCTTTTCCATCACTTCACTTGGGTGACACAACTTTGGAGTGCACAGCAGGTCAGCTGCAGGAGGCCAGCCATCGTCGTCATGGACGACTAAGACGTGCAATAAGATGCCAAAGCTGGGAATATAAAGCAAAAATCGTGTTGGAGGGTTTCTCTAGTCTACAGTGGTGTGGCTCCAAGTACGTCGTAAGGCAGGGGCGTTAAATCATCTTCAAATAATAGTGGGTCCGCAGAGACTGCGGCAACATACATACATGGCAGTGGCGGCGTTAGACCTCGTGCTCCTTGGCGTGGGACATGCACCAGCCTTTGCGTTGGGCCCACTTGAGGCACTTGGGCGCCTTGCAGCGTTCGCCACCACCGTGCATGCGGCACAGTTGCTTGAGATGCGCCTTCTTCTTGCAGCCGTCCACGGCACAAAACTTGCCACCGCCGTGCGACTTGCACAGCCCACGCGATTGCGACGCGCGGTGGCAGCCCTCAAAGCGGCAGCGCGAGCCGCCGCCGTGAGCGATGCAGAGGCCTCGGCTTTGGCTGTTCTTGAGGCAGCCCGCATGCGTGCACTGTCGGGCGCCGCCATGCTTCTTGCACTTTTGGTGCGATCGGGCGCGGTTGTTGCATCCGGTGTGTGTGCACGTCTTGCGCGCGCTCGAGTTGGGCGAGTCGGCGCCATCGTCATTGCCCATATCGTCGTCGGGCACGTCCGCCTTGGGAATCGTCACGCGCAGCGGCGCACTTGTCGATGGCATCATCGAGACAGGCAAGAAGGACGTTTGCGCGAGCGGCGTCGCGCGCGGTGCGAGCGGCACGCGCTTCTGCGAGTCCTTGGCCTTAGGCGCGGTTGCCAGGCCAAACGAGTAGGGCAGCGGCGTGATCTGGTCCATCTCCTTCTTGGCGCACATCATGTTCCAGTCGAGGTTGTCGCCCGTCGCCTTGTCGTCGCAGGCGTGAATGTCGGCAATGTTGGCATTAAAGTTGAGCAGCGGCAGGTCGTTCTCGTCGGACGGCAGCTCGAGCGCGTCCAGGTCAAAGTTGAACGGGTCGAGCTCCATGTCATAGAGCTCCTTGTCCAGAAAGAGCGGCTGGTAGACGCCATTGTCGGCCTCAGCCACCACCTGCAGCGGGAAGGCCTTGCTCTCGTCCAGGAAGGACTCCATGCGCATGAGCCGTGTCACGAGCGTCGGCGCGTCGCCGAGCGGCTGCAGCTTGTCGATGCTCATCGTCGTCTTCGTCGTCTTCGTCTCCACGGCCAAATCGGCGAATGTTCAGTCCAACGTACAGGCCGGCTGCGACCTTCACTCGTGCTCCCGGCGTTTGCATACAAACGCCAAGTGCTTTTGGTCCGCCGTTTTTTAAATGTATTTTCTTTAATGCCCGACACCGTGTCTTTTAATGCGCGCACTGGCTTTCCGTTGGATTTGTACTTGCGTTTTGTATGTAGAGGCCACCACGGGGTTGGATTAAAAGAATTGTCCGAAAGGTATCTTGGCTTTAAAGAATACAAGTCTCTTCGAGAAATTTCGACCGGTTTGACGTGCATTCAATTGGGTGAAACCTCTCAGAACGTATACAATCAGATTTCACATTGCAGGAATGATGGTCGGCCGTGAACCGCGCGGTCGGCTGGCGCTGCGTCAGGGGCGCGCTTCGAGTGGCACCTTGTGATTGGACGAAATCCGCTTCTGTGGCGCACTGTGATTGGCCTGGACCAAGAGACGCGACCAACGCTGGCGGCGACGGTGGCAAGGAAGAATTTTCTTGTGCGTCCAAATGCGGCCATCGAACTCGAGAGTCGATGATGGTCCACGACAATGCGGCTTATGAATGGCTGCAACTTGATTCTTTGCGGCTCCGTTTGATAATTTTAATTTTGCTGTGCTTGACGAAGTATCAACCTGGCAAGATTTGCACTCGTTTATGCGCGACCTAGTTCACGATTATGGCGTTCTTGCTTGGTCCAGATGACGTCGGCGAACGACCTCAAATTTAGCTACTTCCTTGGACGTTTTCCGTGTTAAATGGACATGACGATACCCTTCGCGTCCCATCAACACGCATCCCATCAGCACGCATCCCCTGGTATTAGTGGATAGTGCTTTTGTATTGTGCAAGACTGGATCCAAATGCTTGATCGAGTCGGGGCAGAGGAGCTCTTGAAGAGGCATGGATCGCATCATTTGCATCAACTGATATGCGTGCGACGAGTCATGTTGAAGTCTTATTGGCAGAGATATGCGCTGCGATTGTACTGTACGAGTGGTTCAGACAAGCAATACTGGATACCAGGCTCTTCCAGTCGAAATGTTGCGTCTCTTCCGCAACATTTTGACAGGAAGGGCACAAAATATGCCCCACGCTTTCCACGAGGTTGAAATAAATGTACCTATTTATGAAGTTGGTGCAGAGTAGCAAGTCTGCGCACAAGCTTCAACTTGAAACTCAGAGTTGCTGAAAGGGAAATCAAGTTGTCTATTCCGCAGTCGGAGCTCGGTACAGGTACGTTCAGTCATTCGCCACAAGACACGCTGGTTCTCGTGTCAGCAAACCGATGACACTGCACGATCACACAGCGCTTTCATAAATGGGCCATACAGCTGTATGCCCTAAGAAGCTTGTGCTCCAGCTGCGCGATCGTGAACTTGAAGGATCCTTGCTCGCTCGTTCGGGCACCACAGCGCTCCCTAGCCTCCGTTTTAAGTCCGAACTAGTGTCCCAGCGTAGCACACCGCGCATCCATTCTTCTGGGAAATGTCGTCGCCGAAGATAAACGCTGATGGCGAGACGCAAACGAGATACAAAAACGCTCGGAGAGGAACGACGCAGGACCTGTTCATAACTGCAGCGCCAACGCTTTGGTGCTTGTTAACAATCGATTGCCGTAGACGACCGGCGTCGGCCTGGTAAAACTCGCCTCTCAAGCGCTTCTCATCAGCGGGTTCTCATGGTATCGTGGTGGCATCAATTGGCCTTTATCAAGTCCATGCGCCGTCTTTCAGTGGCATGACCGCTGACGCAAGCAGAGTTGTCAATGAAGATGTCGACAACTCCGACATGTACAGTACACCGCTCACGCTACCAAGTATTCCTGTATGAACGGTGCACAGCCTTGGTGCGCAACAGCATATCATGACCAAACTAGTAGCGAGGATGGATGGAATCTTCGATGGACGTCATCGCCGTTCGAACACGATTGACTCGTCGGACGTCTGTCCAACACCTCTATTTGATCCGTGGACATCAGTCCGCCTTCTCCGATGCAGGTGTGGTTTGAGTGTTGCCAGATTGCTTTGTGTTGGAGGTTGCACCAGCGCACAGATACTCCCTGTTCTGTTGCCTTCCCGACGACTGCAGAGTTGGCGCACACGAAGCGTGACCCAGCACCAAGGTGATGCCGCCTTCGTGCAATGTACAAACTGTCTAGAGGAACAGTAATAAGGGCAATCAACGCCGTGCAAGCCTCTCGACGTCTCCCGGCTTCGCGCTGAACTGCACCACGAAATTCGCACCATACGCACTTTCTTCAACGAGCAAACTTCGTTTGAGCGCTAATCCGTAGTATAAATCTACCCGACGTCGAAGTCGTACATACTGATTAAGCCAATTTCGCTACTCATGCGGAGGGTGCCAGCTGGAAACGCGCATGAGTTGCACTTGCTCGCAGATCATATTCCGCCATGGCCCTACGAGCGTCGCCGCTACTGCTCGTCGCCACCGCGTCTGTCGCGGCCGAGACGCTACCGATCAACGGCTGGTACCCATGCAGCATCAACACCGAGGCGACGCTCGCGCCCAAGTCATCATCGTCGTCGTCGGTCCTGTCGCTCAAAGCCAGCATCGGCGACGACGGCCGCATGTGGAGCGCGCTTCTGCACCCGATGCGCACCACGTACATCGAGGCGCTCGCAACGACCAAGCGCGCAACGACTGTTGAATGCGCTACGTTCACGCTGCCGCTGTGCCACGCCGGGCTCTGCACCGCCAACGCCAGCATGTCGACAATTCCCGTCTTTGTCAAGCGCGCGCTCGCAAGCACGCGGACGACGTCGACGAAGGCACTTTGGTTTCTCCAGGGCGGACCCGGCGCCTCGTCCGTCAACAGTACGGCACCTCCCTTCTTCGTATCGCGATGCACTTATACTTGTAGTGGAGTCGTTCATGGTGCTGCTCTACAACGTCCTCGGTGGCGCAGTCGACGTGTACACGATGGACCACCGTGGCACAGGGCGTAGCCACCGGTTAACGTGTGCTGCCGCGCAGATCGAGACGTCGGGAAGCCCCACGAAGGGCCAAATCACCAACAGCGTCCTCGCGACGTGTGCCCAAGACGTCAACGTCCAGCTCGGCGACGGCGACGGTACGTGGCCGCGGATAGAAATGGCATGGGCAAGCGAATGCGATCTAGCGTCCGTGCTGCGGTCCTTCTCGACGACGAGTGCCGCCATGGACTTGTCCAAAGTGATTACGAGCCTCGGTAGCGACAACACGTTTGTGTACGGCGTGAGCTACGGCACGTACCTCGTCGAGCGTCTCATGCAGCTCGAGAACCCGAGTATCAAGGGCTACATCCTCGATGGCGTCGTCTCCAACTCGGGCAGCCAAACCAACCAGAAAATGGTGTTTAACGACTGGGACAAGAACGTCGACAGCGTCGGTAAGTGGCACATCGTATACATCGACGTGAACACAGTAATTTGTAGCGCAAACCTTTGTCGATCTCTGCACGGCGGATGCCTTTTGCAGCGCCAAGTTTCCCGGCTCGGGTGCGTCAACGTTCGAGTGTCAAGTGGCTAAGGTTGCGTGTGATTAGATTTGAAGACCACGATGACCGCTTTGTACGCCTCCTTGGACGCGGCGCCGACCAAGACGCAGTGTGCGTCGCTGCTTTCGTCGGTGCAAGAAGGGTTGACGCCGTCGGACCTGCTCCGCATCGTCTTTTCGACGCTGCTGCAGGACCAGAGCTTGCGGCCGCTCATTCCCGCCCTTGTCTACCGCATCCAGCGGTGCAACACCAATGACGCGCTCGCCGTCTACAACTTTCTTGTCCAATTGACAAGCTCGTACGACGACAACCTTGTCCTCAAACAATCTGCTATCGTTTGTTCTGGTTGCTTTAGGAGCAGCGACGACTCGGATGTGCTCGACTCGACGATGCTGTACAACCTCGTCGTCGCGTCCGAGCTCTGGCGCACGCCGACCGAGAGTGCCTCGGCGCTCGCTTCGACGTTCAAGTCGACGTTGATTGGCAGCGACGTCTCGGACCTCGCGAAAATGTACTGCATTGCGAGCGGCGGTAAAGACGCCAACTGCGCCGGCGTCACGTCGTCGTCGTTCAAGTCTTCCCGGCTCCAGTACCCCACCGACAAGTACTTTGACCAGCCGATTGCGATCCCCACCGGCGCGTCTGTGCTCCTCATGGGCGGTCGCCTCGACCCGCAGACGTACTACAAGTACGGCGCGTACCAATACGACAGCTTTATCGGCACCGCCAAGCGCCTCGTCGAGTTCAACTACTCGGCGCACGGTGTCGTCGGCAACACGCCTGTCACCACCAAGGTACACGACGGCATCGACGCCAAGGTCTTCACCGTCTGTAGAACGAAGCGCCCTGTGGTGCGCAGATCCTCGGCTCGTTTGTACGCGTCAATGGCGACCTCGATAGCCTTGACACGTCCTGTATGGCCTTTGTCCAGCCCATGACGTTCCAGTTGGCATCCTCCGACGTCCAGTCGCTCATGGCGACGACCGATGCATACGACGGCATCCCGACGCAAAAGTTCACGCAAGGAATTACCAGGTCGGGCGGCGGGTCATCCTCCGGGTCGCTCGGCAGCAACACGACGAACAACACAACGTCGTCAGGGTGGAAGACGGCGGCGATCCTCGCGTTCGTTCTCGTCGGGCTCCTCCTGCTCGTCACTGCGATCCTCTTGTACCGAGCCCGCGTCCAGGCCCAGAAACCGCCCACGTACGACGAACACGTGCCCGACGCTTGATCCTGTACATCGGCGTCCTTGCATACACTGCTGTGTGGACATATCTAATATACCGATCAACCTCTCGACGACCCATCATGATGTGCGTGTTGCTGGTTCATTGCATAACGCTAGCGCTAGGCAACGTTCTTGGGTGGAACAGCGATATTTACGCTTCCGGCGACGCAGCGTCGCGGGCAAGGACGTAAATGTACGGACGATGCACCAGCTGGAGACGGCGGACGTCAATGCGATCAAAGATCTCGACCACCGCGATCGAGGAAAAGCCCTATGAGAGCACGTTCCGTCCAGCTGCACTCCCGTCGTGTCGTACCTCTCGCGCCAGCGTCTCCGTCACCAAGTAATCAAACGCGCTAAAGTCGGTCACGTCTTCCGCCTTGCTGTACCTATGGTATCGATAGCATCGACAGATAGATATCGGGATGTGTGACGCACGTCCACGCAGAATACTGCTCGCCAAAGCGGGAGACGCCCGTCATGGCCGCCGCCACGTCAATGTGCACGTGCACCGGCTCCGCCGCGCGCGCATGTTGGAGCGCGTGCAGCTTTGCAAATGCGACGCCGCCTACGCTATCCATCCAGATCTCAGCGCCTAACGCAGAGGCAAACCCGGGTAGTTGGCATGCGACGCGAGCGTAAAGACCACCGAGCACAGCGCCGTGATGGCAAGACTTAGCACGACACACAGCAAGGGCCATGCGGCCTTCGCAACGTCAATCGACCATCGAGACGATTGTAGAACGGTACCTTGTGCCGGCCGCGCCAGAGTTTGGCGACACCCTATGGTGGACACTGTACGGCAACCAGCACGTGAGAAGGCGCACGTACGACAGCAGAGGCCAGATTGAGCATCGGCACTGCGTTCAGAATGAACCGAAGCTCCTTGTGGGGCAGGATTGAAAAGAGCAGCATGTACAAAACCACCTACATCGCCGCGTGATGCACATGAACGCAAGAACGCCATCTTCTACCGGCAGCACGTAGTAGCAGACGTCGCGGTCCAACCAGTTGGCGGATCGGAGCTGCGCCAGCCGCACCGTGGAGAGATGTGGAAGGATGGACCCAAGCGACCTACGTCGATACGTCGTCACGCATCCGATCGCGAAGCAGAGAGGATGGTACGTGAGGCCCAGCGGCAGCAAGAGCGCAGACGCTCCGAGGATGCGGGGCAGCGCCGACGTAAAGTACCAATGGAACGGGTGCGTGCCCCACTCGTGGCTCTTGTTGAGGATCGTGTTGAAGTAGAGCACCTCGCCCTCGGGCCAGAGCCAGCGCTGCCAAAAGGCCGAGTCCACGCCGACGGTCAGTGCCAACGCGCTCAGCGCAGCCGTCACGCCGGTCGCAACCATCTCGACAAACCCCACCTACGACAGTATCGCTCGTCCGTGCACTGCATTCCACGCTTCCACGTACATGGCGCGCGAATAGCAGCGTGAGCAAGATCGGGGCGAAGAGCACGGCTGTGTCACCTCGAAAGATGATGGTCGAGATGCTGAGCAGCACGATGACGCGGCGAGGCTGGTGCTACGACGGCTTGTTCAAGGCGAAAATGCACATGTCGTACCTGCATCCACGCCGCGTACGCGAGCAGGACCAAGATCTACAGCCGATCAACGTCGCACCATCATCCATCATCCATAGAGATAACGAAGGACTGTACAAGCGCAAAGATGTTGGGCAGCGTGCGGCTCATGTAGAACACCAAGTGGAACTGGACGGCGGTCACGAGGCTGTAGGCGACCGCGGTGTCCGAGCCAAAGACGCTGCCGATCGTGCGCTTGAGCGTCCGCCACGCACCAAACGAGAGCAGCCATAAGGATGCGCGGGCGGCGACTTGCATCGACGCCTTGGAGAGCAGGAGCGAGGCCGGCGCGGCGACCATGGCGACGGGCAGCGCGCCGAGAAAGGTCCGTGGCACGACGCCTGGGAACTCGAAATGGTCGTAGCGCGTGATGTTGCGCTCGTAGAGGAGGTCGTGGATCGCCTGGAGGTTGAAGCTCTCTTCGACCTTGGCGAACGGGCTCAGCCAGAGCTGGAAGGCGCCGACGGCCAGCACGACGACTTCGTCGGCCATGGCGTGTCAAAAAGTGGTCCACCCGTGGAAAACACATAAAACGCACGTGTAGAATCCAGTGAAAAATAAAAAAATCAATTAGTGAAAAACGCGTCGGCCACATCGAACCACACCTCGTCCGAAACTCGTGCTATAGTCCCAGCGTGCCCGAGTGCTCTTGCAAGCGTTGGACGAGTCACTGCCATAATGAATGGGGCCCTTCTCGGACAACCCTCCGGCATCTTGTGAGAGACTGCAAGAAACGAAATGATAGAGCCTACGAGGCTATATCATTTCGTTTCTTGGCCCTCGGATTCGAGAGCTCGACGTCGATAAACGGCAACGTGCAGCAATGACGATCGAACGACCTCGCGCAAACCTCCATGGTCCTACGTCGTAGAAAAACGGAAGCTGAAGCACGAGAAGAAAGCGACTTGCTGAAGACAAGCACGTTCCATTCGATGGCGACGCTTTAAAAGGTCGTCGTAAGAGACGCACGCCATCATCTCATACACCAAGCAGAAATCGATCGCACCGGCGCGAGATCGCACCAGCAACCAACCGTGTAGAAAGCATGCGAAGCATCGATGGTGGCCGAGCGTATCTTTGGTCTCGCACGTGATTGGCTTGAATTAAAACGGCCGACAGCCGACTTTTGCTCAGTTTCGACGACGCACATCGTGGCAGCAGCTTAAATAACGATACACACAAAAGTACTAACTAGGTTTTGGCTAATGCCGCGTGTACATTTCGACGATCGTCGGTAGCGGCTTGATCTGGCTGCGCGCGACCTTGGACATGCAGCGCGTGAACGGCACGCGCTTCCCGGCCACCGTGAGCACGGTCCGGTTCAAGAAGGCGCGCGGGAGGCGGATCGGCGACTTGGGTCGCTGCAGAAATCGATCCAAGAGCGAGTGGAAGCTCGGCGGCGACCCTTTCCGCGTCAGCACTTGACACCGCGGCAGTGTGCTCTGTGTCGGGCGCGGCGGGCTGGCCGGGCGTGGCGGCGGCGTCGGCTTCTTGACGACGTACGCCTCGTCGCTGGTCCCAGCGGGCGCCGAGGCCACCGACGCCCGGAGGCATTGACCAAGTTGGATCCAAACCTTGACAAGATCTGTCCAGGAACTGCGGCTGCTCATACTGTAGTCGGTGGAAGACGGTGCGCGGTTCAAGTCCAATTGGCGACTGGGTTCAACGCGGTGGTGTTCATGGACCGCGACCACTTCCATATTTCTGTCGCCGGTGCAAAAGGTGGCTACCGTACATTACCGTACACTCCACATCTCGCACCAGCCATCTACAAATTTCAAGACAAGCCGTCCGTGATGTACGGCGTGGACGACGCCGGATCGTGTTTGATTGGCATCGCTGGCGTCGTCCAACGCCCCGACGAGCCAACACCCGTTTTTGTTGAGGTTGAAGTATCCTTGCCGCCATTCGAGCATCCTCACTCAATATCTCTGCTGCGTTCGAACGCATTGTGCATCGGACGGGCTCGTTGACGCTGACGCGAGCAGCCGCCGCCCACCGACCCTTGGCGACGCGACGCGAAATCGGTTGCTGCGAATCCGCCAAACCTGGCGTGGGTGCAAAAACACACGGCGACACCGCGGCAAGTGACACGTTGGTGATGGCGTCGGTGCCACGTCTTTGTCACTTTGGGAAAGCAGCGGCGAGCGAGAAGGTGCATCGCATTGAGAATCCGGGCATGTCTCGTGGCTTCCTCAGCAGCGGAAACAGGTCTCGAAACAGATCGAGTACGAGGGCAGCGCTAGACCAAGTCGTATGCCATGTCCTCGATTGCTCGCGACGGCAGCTAGCATACTTGGTAGTACGTCATGAAGCTGCCACCTGTGGAAGCAGCAACTCACGAGTCGAAGAACGACTCGCACCGTCCTACCCGCTAGTGCAAGGTGGATGGCGTCCATCCATTAGCTGCACCCAAGATACCGGTGCACACTTTTGTATGTGGGCAGAGACGTCCCTGTTTCTGCTCTGCGTCCGACGACGCAGCTCGTTGGGTACACTGCAATGAGGCGCGGCTGCAGTAGCTTCCCTCGCCTCATGCAATCCTCCCGCGATATACGATGCTGCATTGAAGCACTGTAAACTTACCGGTACGAGCTCTCAGCTGCGACTTGTGAGCGCGAGAGTGGTATGACGTCGTCGAGCCAGTAAGTCGGCAAAGTGCACTGCGGAGAAGGTTCCTCGCGAATGCTGCTTTGGCCTTGTGCAGCTTGCCGGCTCAGGTCGCCAGCTCGACCAGATCATCAGCCCAGACACCCGGGTGAAAGACGTGCTGATGCTGAGCCCTGTACAGTACCCTCCTCCTCCTCCTAACGTCATTCCGCGCATGTGGATTTGGCTTCGACGTCGATTAGGGTAGTAGTGCTCGAAAGGTTAGCATCGCATTACCGTTTCTTAGTTCGTCGGCTGTTAGAGTTGACTTAGCGGCAAGCAGTGGCGGAGGTTAGCAGCGTCGTCGTGGTCGGTCCACGCCCGCGTCCGCACCACGAGGAGCCGCCACGTCTTCACGTCTAGAATGTACCACACGTCACCTTGCGAGAAGGTGAGGAGCCCCGCGAGGGCCGCAGACGCCTTGTCCAAGTAGCACGCGCCGTTCACTTTGCGAAAGAGAAGGCAGTACACGCTCTGCGCGTTGAGTAGGAGCGACGGGATGTCTCGGCGACGGAGTGTGGGCTGCAGTAGGCGCTCGATGCCATAGGTCGCAACAATACAGCCCAGCGCGATGCCGACTGTCGTACAGACACGGTCAACGCGGCCAATCTGAACGCGGCCACTCACACAGACGAGGCCGTCGTCCATGTTGATGAGCTCGCAGACACGCGCGACGTTGGCAGTCGCACTTGGCGGTGCATCGAAGAGCGTCCAAAGAAAGGTGCCACCCCACGTGAGGAGCGAGCTCTTGTACGCATACGACGGCGTGTACTGCTGCGTGACGCAGCTCAAAATGTCGTTGAGGACGTAGACGAGCCACGTCGCTTCGGAGGCCGCGAGGATGATCTTGGTCCAATGCAGCGGCGGCGACACGAGCAGCGTGCCAAGGCCTCTTCTCGATAACGTCAGCGTACTCGTATGCAAAAGACAGAGCGCCGTGAGGCTGCGTACAAACAGAACGCTGCGACCGACCCAGACGATGCCAACCGTTCGGTTGAACTCAAAGAGGTTGAGGCCCTCAATGTGCCCGCGCATGTGCAGCGTGTAGCTCAAGACGATAATGGCCATGCTTATGAGCACGATCGTAATGTAGAGCACAATTTGCTGGCAGTAAAGGCGTACGCTTGGGGAATCGAACTCGCATCCGGTGGCATCGTCACGGGCACCACACCAAGGCTCATCGTTGTGACGACGCCGGCGTCCCCTGTGAAGGCGACGACCTCGCGCTTGCCACTTGTCCACTCGTACAGCAGCATCCACCCATAGAAGCTCCAGATGCGGTCGACCGAATTCAAGAGCGATAGCTGCAAAAGCGACGACGAGCCATCGCTTTGGCGTCCGTACTGCACGACGGTCACGTTGTGCACCGCGACGGCATCGTAGGCCGCTTGCGCCTCGGCCGAAAACGCCAGCGACGAGTCGTACGTCTCGAGAAAACCTCCACCAGCAGTATAGTCGTTCACGCAGCGACTGTCAAGAATCGCATCGCTGCGGCAAATATCGACGTAGTCGTTCGCGTTCATCGACGGTGTCGACGTCGCATTGAACGCGGCCAAAGCAAAGAGCAGCTGCGGCGCTGTCGGCTGCATCGCCTCGAGGTACACCGAGTTGCAGTAGCTCGTCGCGCCAAACCCAATGCCCATGCCAAAAGAGAGGAAACCTGAGACTGCGTTGTCACCACACAAGAGGTTGCCGCCTGTCGAAATTCCGCTTGGTAGCGCCTGCCACACCATTGGCACCGGCAGTACAAAGTACTTGGTGGGCAAGCCCACGTAGCGCGCCTGCGCCTCGAGGTTGGCCGCCGAGAGCATCGCAAGCGCGTCACGAAACGACGCATAGTACCGCAAGAGCGGAGATGGCACCGGTACGATGACCATGTCGACGGCGTTAAACGGCCCCAGGTGCGACGAGAGCGAGTGAAACCCACTCGAGAGCGGGTACGACAAGGTGAGGTTGTCGACAAGGAGCTGCTCGCTCGATACGTTGGCAAACGCGAAATCACTGCTCGATCGAAGCAAGCTGCGCCCCGCGATCCGAGACGCATTGACGCCCACGGCCCAGAAATCACTCGCCAACGCCCAGTACATGACGTGTGACGTTTGCCGCGTCGGGTGAAAGCGACTTACAGTGCGGGCCAATATGATAGGTTCAGCCGTCTTTTTGTGACAGCCGTTACAGTATTTCACCAACAAGTGTGAAAAGGGTGGCAATCGAAAGCTCTTGCCACAAGCGATCGATTGCCACCGGAATTGGTGAAAAATGTTGGAAATTGGCGGAGGAATCGCTACTAATGGGTTTTGGACCCTGGCAAGAAAGATAGGTTCAAGTCCGAAATATGGTGAATACGATGCAAATCGAAGCTTTATTTGAGCGTTTACTTGCCAATAGGCTCTCCTTTTGGACCTGTAGACATCAAGGCAACGCTTCGT